GGTATAATCAGAAAGCAAGATGTGAATATTATGGTGGAAACATAGGGCATTACAATGAGAATTGTGAGGCTTTCAAACACAAGATGTAAATGATCATTGATGCGAAATAGTTCGATCCAACGACAATAACAGGTTAGAGATCTAAAGACGATGAAAAAACATTGGAATGATGGTGAATGTTGATGGAGTTCTTTCTTTAAAAGGATCTTCGAGCAATAAGTTACTAAGGAAATGAAATGTTTTACAGAATTTTTCTATTTTGTGAATGTTTAAAAAGAATAATATTCTATTTTAAATGTTACAAAATATGGTGTTGTCTCCTTGAATTTGGATGTATGGATTATAATCTTGAATTTCTCTAACTTTTGCCTCTATTCTAATTTTTTTGCATTTTATCAATGAGCTTTGTCATTAATTAATTAATTTATTCATTCATTTATATATTAACTTAATAAAATTCAAATCATGTGTGCCCTAGAGATAAAAATAGTTTGTTTATAATTAATCTTGGCAATTTCTTCTTAGGATTGTGATAACATCAAAATGATAGAGGGCATATAGTCTGAATGGATGACATAAACAAGAATAAAATATGATGTCATGCGAAATAAAAGGTATGGGGCAATTGGAAAAGACTATGAAAAAACTTTTTGCTAAAAGAAATAATCAACCTAAGAGACCTAGCTTAGGACCTTTGGGGTAGAACTCATTAAAAACGACATGGGATCTAGATGCACAAAAAAGGTATAGCTTTTTATAAGAAAGGATTCAAACTATTTAAGCTGGGGAGAAATCTCACAATGTAAAAACATTTTGGTTGGTTCCAAATGTGATCATTCTACCTAAGTTCAAGATTTCAATGTTTAAGAAATATGATGGAAGTGGATGTCGTAAGACACATTTGGCCCAATACCATGACAAAGTGGTTGGTTATGCTAGTGATGAAAAATTATTTATTCATGTCTTTTAAGAAAGTTTGACTAGAGTAATGGCCAATTGGTATTATAGTTAGGAAAGCAGCAAGATTCGCACTTAGAGTGATTTATCTTGAGCATTCTTAAAGCGATACTAGTACATGTTAGAGATGACCCTAGATCGATTGACCTTTTAAAGCATAAGAAAGAGCCTCGATGAAAGCTACAAAGAATATGTTGCTAGATGGAAGGAGATAGCATCACAAGTATGACCACCTCTTACTAATAAGAAGCTGAATTCCCTGTTTATGGATACTCTTCTTTTTCCCTACTATGATAGGTTGATTAGCAATATTTTTTCAGAGTTTGTAAATTTACTATTTATTGTGAGTAAAATTGAGGATGGGATAAAAAATGGTATAGTTATGGATGTTAGTGCAAAAACTTATAATGAAATGAGGGAAAATATTTCTAGTGGGCATGCCCTAAAAATAACCGTTGAAGGGCAAAACAAGGGAAACCTTGGCATGATACAAAAAATCTTCTAAAAGCTTATTTTTATTAGTCACCACATGTCAATAATCTATCCCGACTTTTTTGTGATTTGACACCTCATGCTGGTAACTTTCCTCAATAATTTTATCCTTATGCTTCAATGCCTTTGTCTTAGACTTTTTTGCCATGGAAATTTGTTGAACAAAAGATCAACACAGGTTATCCGTAAAGTCACAAAAGAAAGAGTTAAAATACACCACCCACTTCCACTGTCCTACGCAAAGCTTTTCCTTTTACTTATCAATAGTCATATGATTTCCATTATCCGTACAAAAGCCTAAAAACCTTTTCACCCAAAGTGGTATGAGCCCAATGCTAAATGTGAATATTATGATGGGGTCAAAAAACATTCTATAAAAAATTGCATTGTTATCAAGAATATAGTTCAATCTTTGTTTGACGTAGATCCTGTAAAATTTAAAGAGCTGATTGATGGCTATGATAATTGATGGCGATGGAATTAAATGTCAAAATTCTAAGGTTGAGACACCAAGTAAAGGCATTTGTTTAACTTGTATTCTATTTTAAAAGCATTATTGATGATGTTAATTTTGGATTGGGCCTCAATTTTTGCATTGAATGAATGGATATTGTGTACCATATTGTCTTATGAATTTATGAAAATTGTCATTTAAGGTTTTTAATTTCTTTTAAGTTTTGAACTTTTTAAGATTTTTCCCACAAGAAAAAAAGAAACTATCAGATTTGAATAAAGCCTTATATAATTAATTTCCAAAAACTATAAAAAAGAGAAAAAAGAGAAGAAAATGCCTTGCAAAAAAGGAAAAAGAAAAAAGGGTTTTCTTTTACAATGAAAGGATAAAAGAGCCTTTAAAAAAATGGTGATCACTATAAGAAATAAACTCATCAAATACTTTTATACATTTTTTTTTAATACTCTCATGTTCCAAACCACTTGAAGAATTTCACTCATAAGCCATAACCCCTTTAAGGGGCATAAACCTTAATTCGTGAATCTTGTATTCATTTTATCATATTGTAATTTAGAAGGGTGATAATATTTTTCCAAGCAATAAGCAATGAGATAGTCAATTACAAAAAAAAAAAAAAGATTTTTTTAGATTTCTAGAAAATCAAGCAAACATGACACATTTTTAAAGAATCTGAAAGTTGGTAATTTGATGTGTGAAGATTATGCTATAATCCCAAATGTGCCAAAACCAAAATCACCTAAATTTTATTAGATGGCCTCAAATGTACTAACCTTTCAATTCTCTACCCTAAAAATTTCCTTAAGGCACATTGACAAAAGAAAAACTTAATTACCCTTAATCTTTTCCTAAATTTACAATAATTAAGGTTATATATGAAAAAAAGTTCAAAAATAAATATGAGAAATATGAATATTGTACGAGTGACAAGTGAATTTTACCCAAAAATCCAAATATTAAGTGCATTTGATAAATGACAATAAAGGTGAAGGGTATATTTAAATATTAAATATATTAGCTTGTTATCCATTCAACGTACAAATTATTTTTACTTATTTAAAATGTGTTTAGATTATAAATTAATTTTATTTAATTAATTAGATGTTCAATAAATATGGAGGAAAAATAAAATATCTAAAAGATTTATAGATAAATAGTATATTATTGAATACACTAGCAAAATGTTAAATTGAAAACTAAAAGTTTCACCACTTGAAATTAACTTTTTTCAATTTGTGTCATTTCTGTACAATCATTTGTATACTCATTTAAGTTTATATAATTTTAAGATAAATTTTATTTATCTAGAAAAAAAATTATTTTAAATGTTTAAATAATATGTGTGATAGCTTACTTGTATGTATATTTTTGCATGAATTTTAGTAATATCTTAGTCTTCAATATTTATAGGATTTTTCAAATTAATTTTTATATTTTTTTAAGCTTTATATTTGATGCAAAATTGTATTACTGTAAAAAATGAAATGAAATAGTTTTAAATTTTAAGTAATAATATTATATTTTAGATAATTATTTTAAAAATTTGTTATAAAAAGGTTTCAACGAGAAGATATTAATTCCTATTCATATGATCTTATAATCCGTTTCACTTATAAAAAATCAATAATACTATAAAAGAATTAAATTATAAAAACTTAATTTCAAATAAATAAACATGAATTTACTTTTATATAAAATAATTATGTTAAAATTAGTATTGCATTTTAGTCATTTGATTTTATTTATAAATTTAAAAAAACAAATAAAAGAAAAGTGCAACAAAATTAATAATTGAAAGTAAGCATATATGGTCTTTTCTAAATTAATAAATAAAACCAACAAATAAAATCTAAACAATTAAATCAATATTTTTTACCTTCAATTGCTAAAATATTTTGAAAAAGTTATTATTGCATTAGATTGGTTTTCTTCCTTCGCTTTAACATTCATGAATTATCAAGAAATTTCAATAAGATTCATGTATACATTCTAAAATAAACAAAATATTCAAAGTTTTCATAAAAAATTCATAAAAAATGTTAAATTTAATATTTTAATGTGTGAATGCACAAATTATAAAAAAATTATGCATCTCACATATAAAATAGTTATAAAATTATAATAAATTTTTTTTTGTGTATCTCATAGGGTAAAAAATAATTTCTTTGCAAGTATAAAGGTTGAAAAAAAACAAGAGAAATGCAATTAACATTGAGATTATCGCTAAAGAATAAATTACCTTCTAATGTATATGATATTTAGTCTTTTTAAATTTAAAAATAATCAAATAATAAAAGATTATTATGAAATCTCTAAAAATAAAAATTATATTTTAAAATTTGAAATTCAAAATGAGATATATTTAAATTATTAAAATTCTATTTGATAATATTACTAGATTTTTAGATTTAAAATGATATATATTTATATTATTAGGAAACCTATTTTATTTTAAAATATAATATATCATTATATTTGAAATTTTAGATTGAGAATATATATTTAGATTATTTGAAAATGAATTTTTAAAAAATATATATATTTAAATTGGATTTTTTTTGTTAGCAATTTAAAAACTAATCGAATTGTTTTCCACTTAAATTTTAAAGTTTTGAATAATTAAATAATTTTTAAATATATATTTTTAATAAATAATTTAAAATTAAGAAATATATTACATATTATTATAAAAAAAATTTAAAAATTTTCTTATGTGAAAAGAAATCATTTACCTAACGTTTATCTAAGTAAATTTTATTAAAATTTTATGCATATTATAATATAATATTATAAATAATATATTATATATAATATGACAAATTTGAGCCCAATAATAACCGGTCCGGCAACTACTTATTTTTCAAAACTTTTGAAATTCAAAACAAAGACGAGCGTCTTATGTCTCTTTCCCTCTCCCCCCTCTTCCTATGAAGTGAGAAATTCAAACAAGGAGCAAGACTAACTCAAAGCCCAGGGCTTGCTGTCTCTCTCTTTCTCAAGTAACATATCAGAAATCCCATTGTGGATTGTTGTAGAGTCATTTTAGGCGTAAAGGGAAAAAGAAAATCAAAATCAAAATATGGACAAATACGAGAAACTGGAGAAGGTAGGGGAAGGTACGTACGGCAAGGTTTACAAGGCCAAAGACAAGGCTACCGGCCAATTGGTTGCCCTTAAGAAGACCCGTCTTGAGATGGACGAGGAGGGCATTCCTCCCACCGCTCTCCGTGAGGTCTCCCTCCTCCAGATGCTCTCCCAGTCCCTCTATGTTGTCCGTCTCCTTTGTGTCGAACACGTCGACACAAACAAGAACGGCGGCACCAAGGCCAACCTCTACTTGGTCTTCGAGTACCTTGACACCGATCTCAAGAAGTTCATCGATTCCCATCGCAAGGGTCCCAACCCCAGGCCCCTCCCTCCCTCCCTCATTCAGTCCTTTCTCTTCCAGCTTTGCAAAGGCGTTGCCCACTGCCACAGCCACGGTGTCCTCCACCGCGATCTGAAGCCCCAGAACCTTCTTCTGGACAAGGGCAAGGGCATCCTTAAAATTGCAGATCTGGGCCTTGGCCGTGCTTTCACTGTTCCTCTCAAGAGCTACACTCATGAGATTGTCACGCTCTGGTACAGGGCTCCGGAGGTTCTTCTTGGTGCTACTCACTATTCCACCGCCGTCGACATGTGGTCCGTCGGATGCATCTTCGCTGAAATGGTTAGAAGGCAAGCGTTGTTTCCCGGGGATTCCGAATTCCAGCAATTGCTTCACATTTTCAGGTTTGTTTGTGTCTTCCTCTGCCCCTCGCAGCCGCAGTTTTACTAATTACTAATTGAAATTATTTTTGGTTGGCTGAAAATTGAAAAGGTTGCTGGGCACCCCAACCGAGAAGCAGTGGCCTGGGGTTTCGTCTCTAAGGGATTGGCATGTCTATCCACAGTGGGAGCCACAGAGCTTGGCACGTGCTGTTCCTTCACTTTCTGCTGATGGAGTTGATCTTCTATCCGTATGTCCTCTCCTTCCTCTTCGCGTCATTCCTTTACAAATCTTTAAGAAACAGTGGCAAAAGCTGTCCAAACCAAAACATAATAATACTGCTCTATTTCTACTGTAGATTTGTTTTTCTTTAATAACATCAAATCCCAGTTGATGATGTAGGCTCATTTGAGCATCAACAATTGTACATATACCTGGTAACAAGCAAAGTCCCATAAAATTTCAATTTGATGTTCATGGATTAATTTTATGCAAATCACAATTCACTTGGAATTTCATGGCATACATATGTTATAGTTGGAATATAGCTGTAGTTTGAGTGATTTCAGTCATTAAAAGCTTTTTATTCTGTTACATAGTCAAACCAATTTAAAGAATAGAAAGGAACATGAAGCAATACGGATGAAATATCTTTGGTCGGTATAATCAAAACTTGAACCGGAGTGAATATAAGACATATATGCCTACCTGCATATGTATTTATGCACAGCAATAGACGGAATTAGAATGAGTCATTTTGGTTGCCTTTTCTTCTTTTAATTTATATTACATTGATGCAAGCCCTTTTGTGAACAGTGCAAAAGGTAATGCAGGATATGCCTGAAGGAGGGTCGAGAAAGAGTTCTGTGGTTTTAAGAACACCTAAATCAATTCATGGTGATATATCCAATGAGAAAAGGATAAAAAGAAACAGTGAGGGAAAAAAAAGGTTTCTTTAAAAGATTATGGACATTGTTATTGTAGAAGAGAAAAAAGTTTGTTCGAGAACTTCAAATGTTTTCTATGGGTTTTTTTTCCTCCTTGTAGTGGGCTCAGCTGAAATCAAAGTTTTCATTTTGTAATTTGTATAGCAATGAAGTTCTTGAAAGTAGATATGTCAATTTCAAGTCATAGACCTTGGATCATCATCAAATGGTTACATAACAATAAAACAGATGACAAAATTTTTTTGGCTTGTATGACATCTGTTAATCCATGCTCGTGATGCCCTTTTATTGATTTACCTCTGCATTACTTACAGATTTTAGAGGCTAATAGCTTGCTGTGTTTGGTTATTGCAGAAGATGCTTAAGTATGATCCAGCAGAAAGAATATCAGCGAAAGCAGTAATGGATCATCCTTATTTTGACAGTCTTGACAAGTCCCAATTCTAAATTTGCTTTGCATGTTATAGAATCATAAGGAACTTACTCTTGTGTTGAATGATATGTTGCTATTCACTAGGTGCTCACTTCCCTGAGCTCAAAGCACCTACTTTGAAGAAAGTTTCAAAACGTGTGGGGTAATTAGTTGTCATCATTTAGGTGATCCAAACAACTTTAACAAGCGAATTTTGTTTGGCAAGTGTGTTCATGTACCTTCTAGCTTTACTTAAGTTTCTTATGATTGAGTGACATCAACTTGTTAAATTTGCAACTCTTGTTGATATCTGATTTAATGCGATTTAAATCAATTTATTAAGCATCTTTAGGTAACTTTAAATGCCTTCAAGGTAATGGATTGATTTTAGCAGTAGTTAGCTTATTATAGCTTGTTGCCATGGAATGCTTAGTTCTTGAATGAGTTGGTAAAAGTTCTGGCTAGACGCGGTGCTGAAGGTCTGTCTTGCGTTTACGATTTAGTATTAACCTGACTTCCATGATAGCTGTCTGAATCTGATGCAGCTGCCCATGGGGAACTAATAGTGGAGCTTAGGATACCAGGTGGGTAGATTAGCGGATCTGAAACTTGATTTCTGTGGTCAGATAACATATGCCTGAAGTAGCATGTTCTGTTTTGTTTGTTAATGAATTTGTGATCAAGCTTAGGTTAAGTTAATGTGAACTTATTTGTATTTTATTTGGTGCATCTTAAAATCGAGAGAAACCCTGGCGTACGATTCAAATATATGAAATACTATATTATAAAGTGTTAATGTCTTGGTAGTGGATTTCATATGTCCTTGTTCTTAATGTCTTGGTTGTACATTGCTGTGATAGTTTGATACTTTGATTTGGATATAGCTACAACTATGAAAATAATGCGATTGAAGGATGAACTTTGTTGGGTAGATTTTGTAAATAGGAGTGATAAAGATTTGGATTAAATTGAATTTGGTTTAATTTTGGATAATGCATAAAATTATGAATTTTTAAAATTCAATCTCAATTTGAATTAAGTTTTTATATGATTTGATGTGATCCAAATTGAATTTTATTGGTATAGTTCATTAATTTTTAAATTTTAAATTTTTTGTTTTTTATATATTATTTTAATAAGATTTTTAATATATTTAAATAAATTTGAATATAAAATAGTTATTTTTATTTTATAAAAATTTAAAAAATATATGAGTTAATAAAAATATAGAATTTAGTATGGTTTGACCTTTTTTTTTTTAGTTTTTCATTTTTCAACTCAAAAATTGATTTTAATTTAATATATATATTTAATATTTAAAATTAATTTAAATTGAATAAAAAAATTGATTTGAATTAAATTAAATTTTATATTTTTGAATCAATTTTTGGTTTTTTTTTTATTTTTAATTTTTTTCACTCTTATCTATATAGATGCAAATAAGCCAATATTGCTAAGGTTTCTTGACTAGTAGGTTGAACTTTCATATTATGTAACGGTTGGAATGAAAGCATTGACAAGTGATAATATATATTCAATTGGTCATGTTTTCTTATATATACTTCATTCATTTGCTTATATTCTTTGGTCACAACTCTTATTTGTGCACTAATTTCCACTATTATTCCAATTAGCATTTAAATGTGCTTTTATGCTTTAAATAGCATTTCATCTTTTTCTTGTAACTTTGTTTGCAATTGTTTATTTTTTTTCAAAAATTGGGCCAATTCTCGATTAGTGGATGATTATGTTGTGTTAAGGTTAGTGAACAAACTCTTTTATTCATCATTTTCTTGTTCAAATGCTTGAATTTCTCTTTTTAGTTTTTTGTTTGCAAGCTTCAACTTTTTAAACTCCCTTTTAAGGCCAATAAAGGACTTTGTTAGTCTTTTTATGGATGTAATTGAGACTTTTCTTGTTAAAATTATTTTGTGACAAATATTTCTTATGATAAATTTAATGATGTTAATGCATAATAAAAAAAAAGGGTTAGTAGGCATAAAAAATAATATATAAATACAAAGACCAACATAAAGGGTTAGTATGTAAAAATATAAATACAAATATAAAAAATATATATATATATACACGAAAAAGACAATACATAAGCTTACAAGTAAAATAAACATCAAATCATAAACATCAAATCATATATCCTATTTAGGATTTTTTAACATAAAAAAAGATATGGCTCTAACTTAAACTTGGACTTTTAGGGTTTACTTATACGTTACGTTTAAAGGTTTGATAGTCTAAGAGTTACTAAATTATTTCTTACATTATTGTTTATTATAGACTAATAAGACACAAAATCTTTAGCTATTATAGGCTACAAGTGTAAAGGATTTAATTTAAGTGTGAGTTTTTTGTTAGTTTATGCGAAGACATAAAATCTCACGAAGGTATATGGTACTTTATTCTCTCATAAAAGATAGAACTTGGGTGTAGAGCTCATGTTATGCATATGCAAGTGAATTATAGATATATGAAAATGAATACATGAATAGCTAAATAAAACATAATCAAGGAAAAAGAAAGAAAAAAAATTAAAAAAATCTCAAATTTATTAGGTTAAGCTTGGATAACAAGAAATTATTTACTGATTTGACTCTTGAGTTTTCAGTAAAGTCATCAAACTGTTATAACGTATAGATCCACTAGATATGGATTAAAGGAGTTGCTATTAATATTTTTTATTTAGGCGTGATTGACCACCTAATCAAATCTATTTTATTTAAAGAGTAATATTAAGATTAATTTAGGTATCTTTAAATAGTAGATTTTAGTCAACGAAATCATATTTTAGATTCGAGAATGCGGTTATGCATGAGAAAGATTATAGCATCCTCATAGCGCCCATCCAAAGGATGATACCTGTTTAATTTTAAATTATGCAAGCCTTAACTATATTTATGGTTTACCAAAGTATTTAATATTGAAAATTAATATTAAAATTACTCTAATAGTTTAGTAGTAATTTAAGATAATTTTTTTACTTCAGGAATGTTCATGAAGACTAGTGTTTTCACCCTGAAGAGATTTCGTTGTTAGATTCATTTAAATTTTAGTTAAAGAAATAATTAGTAAAATCTTCTAATAATTTGATAAGATTTATTTTGATGCAGATCTCCCAATAGTTTGATGAGATTTTATTATAAGATTTTTTTAAAAAAAACATATTAAATCTTTTAATAGTTTGGTATGATTTAATTTAAAATGTAAATCCTCCAATAGTTTGGTAGGATTAAATGCAAAATATTTTATTAACAATTATTTTTTTTGAAAATTGATTAATGAGAGTTTTCAATAGTTTGGTAGAATTCATAAAAAATTAAAATTCAAGAAAAATTTTTAATAGGTTAGTAGGATTCATAAACTTATTTTAGAAATATTTTTTGGTTACTTTTCAAAAATAAAATAATAAAAATGAAGTTTACAGAGGTATTAAAAAAAGCAATAAATTGTTCAATTTAAAATAAGTAAAATAATAAAAAATAAATAAAGAATAAAAATAAAATAAAAATATGTAAAAAACCTAAAAATAAAAAAAATAAAAAATGTAAACAAAAAATAAAAAATAAAAAGAAAAAGAAAAGCATGCGATCGGGTTGAGTCCAGAAACGGGTTATGTGCAGATCCACATGGGTTGGGACACGAGTTATGTTGAAAGAAATGACATCGTTCGATGCTAGTATAAAAGTCAAGATTTTTTTTTTTTTTTCAAAATCCTTTAGCTCTCTCTCTTTCTCTAGGATTTTTGCTCTACCTTTTCTCTAAAAGGCCTGATCGAAAACTTTAAAATCTCTAAATCTCAACCAAAAATCCCACTTTTTCAGCATTGTGAAATTCAAACAGTCGCTGAAAACTTCAAGTTTGTTCAAAAACCAAATGAACTCAGAATCCGGTCACTGTGAATCTCACTTGAAAATTTAAACCCCCACTGAAAAATTTATCCTAAACAAAAAAAAAATCCAAAATTTTTTAGAAAAATCAGTTTCTTTCAGAAGATCTCAAAACCATTACAACATTTTAATAGAAATCCCAGAAACTAATAGAAAGGGAATCAAACTCTGAACTCAAATCTGCTTCCCAAAAAACAAATCAAACCTAAGAAAAAACCAAGACTCCTAAACAAAATCCAAAGAACTTCCTGTAATAGCCAAAAAAATTATTCAGACAATACTAATCTAAAAGAAAGTAACCTAAGATGAATCCAAAGCCCCTTCTATTGTGTGTTTTGGGAATGCGATTTATGGAACATTATATAGTAATTTTAGGGGTTTGCCTTAAGATCGGATCTATCACCAACATATATGATTTTAATTTTCTTTGATTTAGGAATTTTAATTTTAATTAATTGAGGCCAATTTTGTTTCTAATTCCACATCTATATGATTGTTGGAACAGTTTTCTGATTTCATTTCCCTTTTTTTGTTGACTTTTTTTTCGAATAATAATAATAATAATAATAATAATAATAATAATAATAATTGGGCCAAAGCCCAAACGAGATAAAAATGTAAGAAGTGTTCCGAAGCTCGATGATCTTGAAAGACCCAAATCGAGAAATTGATCGCACCCTAGACAAAAACAAATGTCTACAGATAACAGCATCTAAATAAAAACAATGTTGCTAAATATTTGTGATTTATTTGCTCAACTTCATATTCTATTCAAATGTCAATTTAGACTGCTAAATATTCTTTCAAATTTGGATGTAATCAAGTCAAATGAAGTTAATATATTATCATATTCAAATTCTACTTCAATAGAAAACTTGAAATTAGAAATTTGACTCTAAGCTCAATGGAGTTTTATTTTTTATGTTCAAACTTGACTCATTAATTATTTTATGTTCAAACTTGACTCATTAATTATTTAAGTCACTGAAGCTCAATTTAGTAAATTCGACCAAATTCGAAAAATTATAAATATTAACATTAAACATTATAATTTTATCATTTATTTATATATTTATTATATATATTAAAAATTAAAAATTCAATTAAATTTAATTAAACTAATAAGCCTTTCAAATCAAATATTAAATATTCAAATTTAACTCGACTTGTTACTCAAATAGCTCAAGCTCGATGGACAATAAACGAGTCGAACTGAGTTTTTTCCCTGACTCATTTCACCCCTATTCCCTGACTGCTGCAAACATACCTGCACCCACGAGGACTCAACACCCACCGGACAGAAAGCAAGCTGCTTGTAGAACGAACGTTCTATGTATCAAACTTAACTGGAACAAACTTCTCACATCTCATATATATAATATAATTGTTAAGTTGTCGAAGTGTAGATATACATACTGCACATTAATTAACATACAAATTACTCCTTGTATCTAATTTATTTGAGATAAAATAAGATGGAACAAAGAGGTGATACGGAAGGCAATTCTTCCATGGATTTTCAGCTCGCTGCTGTAAACTGGTAGGAAGCATATGAAAGAGCACCAAGATCCCAGCTGTGATGGATAAGTTTGGCCTTTGCATTTTCTCCTGCAGCACCCATGGCTACGTGCAACGGATAGAAGTGGTCTGGCCAAGGGTGAGCCATCTTTGCATATGGTGCCTTCTCCTGAAAGTGATTCACATCTTCATATCTACAAGAACAATCAAATAACCACAAGAGTCAAACTTCCTACCCAATAACAAAAACAAAACAAGCAAACAAAGAAACCTCAGACCTGGCATTGCATACAAACATGGATTCAAATATCAAGTCATCTTGCCTTAAAAGAACTAAATTTGGACCCAACAAAAACGGATTAAGTGAAGGAAAATCTTAAAAGGTAACATCATCAACAGAGAATGTGAAGACATACTTCTAAATTATAATTTGCAACGCCACCAACCAAAACAAACACAATGGCAGCAGCCCTCCCCCATCCTGCACCCCTCCTCTGCCTTTGCTCCACAGGAAATATAAGAAACAAATATCTAAAAGAGAATAAATAGAAAAATAGAACCTTGGTTCATTAAAATAGATTCCCATTTCTTTTTTTTTTTTTTTCAAGTTCAGTAGCTTCACAATGTTAAATGTAACTTGTAATTCAGCACTTAGAATCTTCTCAGACAATGTACTTTCTTTGCATAATTGCACTTAACTCCTAAAGCCTGATTTAGTTAAATATACACTTGATGAGAATTTAAAGAAAAAATGGACAAAGGGATGCCATAAAGCACACCCTTAGGATCAGAACCATAATCCAATCAAACTCAGAACCTCATCACATAGTGTGTAAATACTACTGTTAGATACAGCCCCTTGACAGTATGATTATAGAAGTAAGAAATGCGACTAAATAACTTTAAAATTTTTTCAGCTTTCCAATTTATATCATTGTCAAGTCATTAAATTTGCTAGTTTGATCATAGGTCATTAGAACTTAGAGGAACGCTAGAATGAGTCACAATGTTTAATTACCAATAGCATGTTGTTGTGAATCTAACATATGTATAAACATAAAAAAGGAAATATTCTCTCACAAGAAAGAATGATCACCTTCCTTGAAGGAGAGCATCTTTAAGCCAAGTATCAAACTCTGAAGCCCATGGAACAACACCACCACCCAAGTTTCTAAGGGCCCTCAAGTTATGAGTGGTGGCTCCAGAACCAATGATGAGAACACCTTCATCCTTGAGGGGGGCCAAAGCCTTTCCCAAGTTGTAATGGTAATTACCATCCCTTTTTGACTGAACAGAGAGTTGGCAGACTGGAATATCAGCCTCTGGATACATGAGCATCAGTGGAACCCAAGCACCATGGTCGAGTCCACGTTTTCTATCTTCATCAACACGCTTGAAATCAGATGCCATAAGCAATTCCTTCACTCTTAATGCCAACTCCGGAGCGCCTGGCGCTGGATATTTAAGCTGTTAATAGAAAATGAAGAGTTCGGAATAAATTAGGAATACCATTTCCAATACAACAATATAAGCTTTGCGGCAATTGTTGATAGTTTAGAATTTTGTGTATTGATTAATAAAGTTACTGTTTGTATTAATTATTCATAATTTGAAAAATTATGTTTGAATAAGAAGCATTTGTTTAAAATAGCTATGTAACAAAAAAGTTACAACTATTAAATGAATAATTACATTTGAATAGAAATATTTGTTTATAATAGTTATATAATAAAAGAGTTACAACTATTTAAACAAATTGATATGATTATTCATCAATAGAACATGTCTATTCATCAGCTATAAATAAATCATTATGCATAACCATTTTCACTATTTTTGTCCAGAAAATTGAGATTTTGTTTTATCTTAGAGACATAATTATCTTTAAAAAACCATTCTTCACGCCTCAAAACTAAAATTCGTTTATATTATTTCTATATCCCTTATTTATTTTTCTAACAATTTAAAGGCAATTATGTGAAATTTATATTTTGCATAAGAAGATATAAGAAAAAAAATTGGCAAAATAGACTTTTCAAACATGCATGGAAAGTCTTAAATATCCAAATGATTTCTTGGTGAAGTAAATACTAAAGATTAGATAAGTTTCTTATTTCTATCTTTTTAGTTTTTATATTCTATTCAAAGAATTGATATTAATAATTCATAGGAGATTTTGCGTCTTATTGAATTTTTTTTATTAACTATTTTTTAATTTTCAATTCTAATTTAAATTAATTAATTATATGATTTATGATTATATGGTATGTTCTATGTGGATTTTCTTGATTACGGCATTGAATGGTCATAAGCCTTAAAGGACATTGACTACTTGCTAACTTTATTTATGGATCTTTTATAACCTTGTTATATTTTGATAAAACCATGGTTATTAAAAATGAAATTCTCGAGAATTGTTTCAAGGCATAAAAGAATTAATTAATTTGTATTTTGTTTAAAGAGAAGCTAGTATATATGCTCTTACCATAAAAATCATATTTTAATGTTCATATTCCATGCTTGCATTTTATTGACAAGAGTAGAATGTATGATTCATATTATTTATTTCACATATTGTTTCGGCATTTATTTCTTATGGATTAAATACTTTGTTTAAATTATGCAAGAATAAACATATTATTGAGATTACTTCAATTTCATCGAAGAAGTTGTATGATTTTTTATAAATGACTTGTTAAAATGCCTTTTTATTTGATGGAATATTTCATGTATGTATTTCAAAATATGAACATAAACTTATATAGCATTGTGTGGTTATACATGAAATTATGATTGTTCTTAAATTAATTAAGGCATGAACTATGGTGGATATGACTCTAGTGTCCATGATAAAATAAATTAATAAGTTATTCACCACAATGAATTGGCATGCAAGTCTCAAAGTAGACTATGGAAGCATGAGTTTACTAAAAGAATAATAACTTTGAGTGATTGTATTTGATATTTTAATACTTATTGTGTAGTTTCATATTGAGTTGAGATAAAAGTTTTAAAATTTTTAGAGAGAAGAAAATATCAAGATATTGAATACTTGATAGTAATCTTTCACTAGAGATGGATAGTTGGAGACCTAATAGAAAAAAAAAACACTAAATAATAAAAAGATAAATAAAGAGCAAGGTTAATTAATACACATATGGTGGGTCTTATAAATTATTAAGAAACAAAAGAAATAAATAATAAATGCTACCATAATGTAATAAGATTAATCTGTATAATTTTACTATATTTAAATTATACAAGTTAATAAGTTTAGTACAATTTATTAATGGAAAGTCATTAAAAATGATCCTTAATCTTAAAGGACTAATAGTGATTGGCTTATTTATTTAATTTATCTAATTATACTAGAAGTATAATTTTATTTAAGTTGGATAAAAAAGGTATGGAAATAGAATGGTTGAAAGTTATATAAATAAGTATGGAGTTATGGCCACAACTAATGCCAATTATTTCTTACAAATGACAAGAATGAGGCAACAATGTCTATAGTATATAAATGAAATGCAAAATGAGAAGTGTTGACATGTCAGCTTATGGAGTGATTATATTAGAGATTCAATCTTAAGTGAGAGTAATTATCATAAAAAAAAATTGAATCCCAAGATGTTCAATTAGTAATACTACGAGTGGAATGGGTTTAAACTAAAACTATTAGACACCAATAATGGAAACCAAACTTTGAATTAGCAACCTTTAATTACAAAGTTTAATGGGTAAAAATAAGTTATTATTATGTGTTTGTTAAACACTAGTAAAACCCATTCAAATTTTAGAGATTAGTGAGGTCCATTTCATGGAAAGAATAAGTTTTATACTCTTAATGGAGTTAATTATGTAAATATCTAAAGAAATGGAGATATCAACAAAACTTTACCCATATAAATATGAAAGTAGTGTTGCTTCAACAAGAAGAATAAGGGTCTCTCTTTCAGATGTTTGTGAATAAGATAAGCATATGACCATTATACTGCTAAAGCGGTTATAAACCTCTAATAGAAAAACAAGTATTATGTGTTTTATATGTTCAATTGTAACACTACAAGTTGAAGTTTAATCTGTGGATGCTATCAGCTTCGTTAGAATTCTAAGTTATATACGTTAATTGAAAGTTTAAATCGAGAAATAATGTCTTGTATTTATAATATTTATTTGTATGAAAGGTGAAAAATTAAGTACCAACATTTCAAACTAGTGGAGAGATTTTTGGTAATTTAAAATTTAGTGCATCTTATATTGGATAAAAAGACTTAATTATTAGTGAATAAACTTAATTTTTATATTAATTTTACTCATATTTTGAATAATTATATTTGAACAGAAATAATTATTATAAGACAAATGATCATAATCATTTGAATACAAACAAATGACATTTCATGTATGTCATGATTAAACAAATAGTTATAATCATTTTAATAAAAATTTGTCTACTTTTTCATTATAAATAGAAAAATTTGTCATCAAACCTCAAAGCCAAAATTCAATTTTATTATTTCTGTACTCTTATTTATTTTTCTAACAACAATAATTTTCGCAAATTAATAAAATCCAATCGCCTAAATCCCCGTTCTATCCAAGAACCTCAGCCCGTTTCTTTAATTTTCAGAAATGAAAGATCAATCTACCAGACCCCGAACTGAACAAAGTATATAATAATAATAATGGAAAAGTTTTCAGGTTAGGAAAGGCACCTTATACATTGGGTCGGGGAAACCATAGAAGTCATAGATGGTATCATTGCGTTGAACAATATTAACGGCAGGGAAAGAAGTGTCCCAATGCCCAGAAATTACGAGGATGGATTTGGGTGTGTGGCCAAACACTTTGTCCTTCCATGACTGCAAGAAATGCCTAGCGGGAAGCGACTCATCTATCGACAGCGTCGGCGATCCGTGCGATATATAGAAAGTATCCTTCATCGTCAACGCCATTTTTTGACGATAGTAATGTTTTATAAACAATTAAAACTCAGTTGGAAATGCCAACTCTGGGACCGATCTTGATTTTATGGTTCAATATCATACCCACCTCAGGCCCGGCCTGCCCTGGCTTGGCAGTTCGTTTGACCCTGACCTTCAAAAATTCTTTTTCTGTTAATATCATTATTATAATTTTTATAACTATTATTATTAATTATTTATATTATTATTATTATACATAAAAGTACGGAAGCCTTTTTTTGTTTTTTATAATTTCAGATCATTCCCTTGGCTTTTCTCGCCTTTCTAGCTTTAGCAGTCACCTTTTGTCTTTTCTCCAACATTTAACCTAATTAACCCGAATTTGAACTCAAAGGGATGAGTTTGTTGTGGACCTTTTAGTATCAATCAAATTGAGTAGAGTCACCTATTTTAATTTAATCTCAATTTTATTATTTATATATCATTTTTTTTATTAATTAACTTTTATTAATTTTTTTATTTAATTATTATTTTTATCATTTGTTTTTTTTCTTTTTACATTTTTTAAAGTATTCTTAGTTGGATTTTGAGGCATCTCAATATAAGTATGTTTTAAGACACCTTAAGAAGATTTAACCCCATTATCCGATGGGAAGTTTTGAACCCCATTTACTAGGTAAAGACTCCAAATTCTTATTGGCCTTTATATAAAGCATTTGAGAGAATTATAAATGCTTACCTTTATGCTGCAAAACCAAACCTCCATGATACAAACACAAGAAAATTTTTTTTTCAAAACCAAGCATCTTTTATGAAAAATTTTGAAATCCAACTAGGTCAATTAGCTAGTTCATTTACTAACTTTTTACAGGATACTCTATTTAGTAACACTAAAATAATTCCTAAGAAGGATGGTAAAGAGCCATTATAAAGCTACCAGCCTTAGAAATTTAGTGACTTAATTAAAGTTATCCTTAATTAAATAAAAATTAATTATTAAATAATAAAAAAATTATCGAGTCAGGCCAGCCTGAATAAATTTAATCATTCCCTAACCATTTATATTGGCTTTCTAGTTCTCAGCTTTTACAACCTAGGCAACCAATAGTGTTACGCCTTGGGCGGGCGCACCAGGTACATCAGGCCCACCAGCACGTGCACCTAAGGTTGAGGTCCACGCACCGGATGCACTGATGGGAGTTAGCATGCAAGGCCTTGAAGGCAAGGCCAAAACGCTTGCACAACCTGTAGGCCAGCTTGTAAGACCAAGGTCTGGCTTGCATGATGCCCGTACCACATTCAGCAGGGCCCAAGATGGGAGATACGCAAGAGGATCTTCTGAAAGATACCAAGATCAGCAGAAGCTTTCTGACAGATCTGGTTGATCTTTAGAATCAAGAGATAGAATCCTAATTAATTGTAATCTTTGTAATTCTTTGATTTTAGCCTTGATCTTAGGGATTTAGCCATAAGTGTAGCTGAGAGCCTCAACTATAAATAGAGAGCTGCTCCACCCTCATTTGTACACCATCATACATTTCTGTTTCAGTGAATACAAAGTATATTCCAGCAAGCTATCTTGCTTTTCTGTTTCTTTCAAACTTGCGCATTCAACCTTTCCCATTGTTCTAGTGCCCGCATGCTAGTGTTTTAGGCTGACTTAGGCTACAAAGAGGTGATTCCAAGCCTAAGGTCACAAGGATTCTGAGTCTAAGGTTGGAGCCCGTGACAGGTTGGTATCAGAGCAAGTTCGATTCTACGTATTTATGTTGTTCAGGTTAGATCACAATCGAGGAGATGACATCCCAGAGTGACGTTGCTAGCCAACAACCAGAGGCCAATGAGCAGGGGCATAGAAGAGGCAAGAAGGCCAACTCGAGAGACATCTGGTCTACCGTGGATGATAGACTGGCTAGGATAGAGGTGAGCATGAACGACATGCAAGAGAAACTTGAGGATGTGGAGATTCACGTTGAAGCACTAGACTCTATGAAAGAAGAGCTCAGTGGCGAGTTACAAGTTGCTCTCAATAAAGGCATGGACGTGATCACCCAAAAGAATGAGACCTTGGAGGCTGTGGTGGAGGCCATGAGCAAGAGGATAGAGAAGTTCACCAACGAGCTCATTGCTTGTAAGATTGCCATTGGGAATGGCATGTTTGCTAGATTGTCTAAGTCTAAGATGGATGTCCCCAAGCCTAAAGAGTTCAAGGGAACTAGGGCGACCAAGGAAGTAGACAATTACCTATGGGGTATGGAATAATATTTTCAGGCCATAGGCATGCAGGATGAAACAATAAAGGTAAGTACCACTGTTATGTATCTCACTAATATAGCCTTATTATGGTGAAGGCGTATGTATGATGATGTTAGGCGTGGGAACGCCAAGATTAGAACCTGGACAAAGTTTTAAAAAGGGTTTAGAGAGTAATTTACCTAGAGTATTTCGATGATGAGGCACGGGTAAAGTTACGTAAGTTGAACCAACAAAGAGACATAAATGAGTATGTCCAGAGATTCTCTAAACTGATGCTACAGATCTCAGATCTAGATGAAAATGATGTCTTATTTACTTTCATGGATGGGCTGAAATCGTGGGTGAAGCATGAGCTACAACAGAGTGGAGTTCATGACTTGGCTAAAGCTATGTCTACTACCGAGTCCTTGATAAAGTTTAAGTCTCTGAATAAGTTCGAGTCTTCCAAGCCCTAGGGTAAGGGCAAAGACGAGAGTGACCGAAAGAAACAGTCCAAGGAGAAGAATCGTGATCGAGAGTCTAAGGATGTGGACTGAGATCGTTCAACCAAGGATGGTGAGAGGAAGCCACCAGCAGGCAATTGGAAAGTAAAAAGGGATCGAGAGCCACTAGCATGCTATCTATGTGAAGGGAGCCACATAGCGTGCAATTACCCATAGAAGGGCAAGCTGGCTACTGTAGACAAGGAGTCTGACGTGGAGCCAGAGATAGAGGCAGCAAAGCTTAGGTTGTTGGTGCTCAATGTTGTCAAGAGTAAGAGAAGCCACAAGCCAAAGGGCTTAATGTTTGTGGGTCAGAAAGTGAGCGCACTAGTGGACACATGTGCCTCACATCTTTTTATTTCAGGTGATAGAACCTAGAAGCTCAGACTAAAGGTGTAAAAAGAGACTGGTACCATTAAAATGATGAACTCCAAAGAGGTTCCAGCCATTAGAGTAGTGCAGAGAGTGGAGTTACAGCTTGGAGACTGGAAAGGCAAAGAGACCATAGAGGTAATACCCCTTGACGACTATGAGTTTGTGATTGGGTTAGATTTTTTTGTTCGAATTAATGCCCTCTTTGTGCCTTTTACCAATTGTATTTACATCCTGGATGCACGGTGTCAATCTCTAGTACCATTGAGGAGAAGGTTTGGAGTTGGGTCGTATGTGGTGTCAGCCATCCAATTTACTAAGACGGTAAACAGAGAAAAAGACACCTTTTTGGCAGTCTTAAAGTATGAAGAACTAAGAGAGAAAGAGATTGAGTCACCCTTAGAGGTGCTAAAGGTGCAAAAAATCTTTAGTGATATGATGCCCGTAAAGCTGCCTAGCCAGCTACCACCTAAGAGGAAGGTGGGCCGCAAGATCAAGCTGGTGTTCGAGGCCAAGCCACCAACTAGAGCCTCTTATCGAATGTCTTTACCAGAGTTGATGCAGAAGGGACATCTAGTCGCACTTGAGAGCATGAAGCTAAACGAGACTAAGCGTAAGTACACAATCCAAGAGAAGAAGATGACAGCAGTGGTGCATTGCTTGCTCACTTGGCACTACCTATTAGGATCAAGATTCATGGTTAGGACGGACAATGTGACGACCAGTTATTTTCAGACGTAGAAGAAGCTATCCCTCAAGCAGGTAAGATGATAAGATTTTCTTACATAATTTGATTTTCAGATAGAGTACAAGCTAGGACGGGTGAACCTGGTGGCAGACGCTTTGAGCAAGAAGGCTAACCTTGTTGTCATTAGTCAATTAGAGGGGTCACTGGTGCCTCGCATCAAGGAGGGACTTACGTATGATCCTACAGCCAATGTTCTTATAGAATACATCCAACAAGGTAAGACTAGGTGTAGGATGGTTTGTTGTACACCAGAGGTAGTAGACTGTTTATGCCGTAGCATGGGAAGCTTCATAAAAAAGTTTTATAAGAGTGCCATGATTCAAGCTGGGTTGTACACCTAGGAGTGAGCCGTACCTTGGCATTGCTAGAGGATCGGTACTACTGCCTGCACATGAGAAACAATGTAGAGGCCTATGTGAAGACTTGTCTTGTGTGCCAATAGGACAAGTTAGAGCTCAAGAAACCAGACGGTCTCTTAGAGCCATTGCTAGTGCCGGAGTGACCATGGAAGAGTGTTTCTGTAGACTTTATAGTCGGTCTACCTAAGGTAGAGGGGTTTGAAAGTATCATGGTAGTGGTGGACAGGTTTTTCAAGTATGGAATCTTTATTTCAGCAACCAAAAAGTGCCCAACGGAGGAGGCAACTCGATTATTCTTGAAGAACATGGTTAAATACTAGGGAGTGTCGAGGACCATTGTTAGTGATCGGGACGGGCATTTCACAGGCAGGTTCTGGACTGAGTTGTTCAAGCTGTTAGGGTCAAACTTGAACTTTTCCACTAGCATGCATCCACATATCGATGGGCAGACTAAACGTGTGAATGGACTATTGGAGGTCTACCTTAAGCACTATGTGAGTGCCATACAAAAGGACTGGCCAAAGCTGCTAGATGTTACATAATTTTCCTATAACTTGCAAAAGAGCAAGGTAACGAACCAAAGCCCATTTGAGGTTATAACAGGTTAACAACCACTAACACCTGATTCGATTACTGCAGGTTATACATGGCCAAATCTAACAGCATACAAGTTTGCCAAGGCTTGGTAGGAGTAAACTGACTTGGCCAGAATCTGTCTACATAAGGTGACAAAGAGGTCGAAAAAGTGGGCAGACCAGAATAGGTGGTACGTGCAGTTTCAAGTTGGAGACTTGGTGTTGGTGAAGCTACATCCCATTGTACACCATAGGAGGCTACACAAAGACCTAGTCTGGAGGTATGAAGGACCTTTTCGAGTAGTCAAGAGGGTAGACAAGGTTTTCGACAAGCTATATATGCCACCCAGGCTGAAGGTACACCTAGTGTTCCATGTAAGCATGCTCAAGCCATTTCATGAGGAT